TGCTTTGCTAAGCTTGTTCTAGGTAGGTGCTTTCAACCACTGAGCCATCTCACCAGCCCCCGGAATAACATTTTAAAAGATTTAACTTTATTATTACAATGTTAGGAATTAAGGGGCCGGGGAGATGGCTCAGTAGAATAAGTACTTGGCTGGCAATCCCTGGTTTCACCACCTCCCCCCAACAAAAAAAAAAAGGAAGGAAGGAAGGTACAGTGTTAGGAACTAAACCCAGGGTATTGTACATGCTAGGCAAATACTATCACTAAGCTCTACCCCATAACTTTAAAACATTATGGGGGCCCAGGAGATGGCTCCTGGATTAAGCGCTTCCCTGGCAAGTGCAAGGGCCTGAGTTCAATCCCTGGTTCCGCAAAAAAAAAAAAAAAAAAAAAAAAAATCCAGAAACCTAGGTATATATGAAAATATTGTCACTTTGGGCTGGTGAAATGGCTCAGTGGTCTAAAGCACCTACCTAGAACAAGCTAAGCTAAGCAAAGCACAGAGACTGCGGTTCAATCCCCCAGCACCACATGCCAGCCAGCCCCGCCCCCTGGTGGGCTGAGCTGGCCACACACACACACACATACACACACACACACTAAATATTTAAAAAATGTTTAAAAAAAATAAAACATTATGCATTATGTAGGATGTTGTCAATAAAACCAAACAATTCTGCAAAATATAATAAACTAGATTCCTTTTTAAATTCTTATTTTTGTATTTGTAATATATAATAATTACATTCATCTCAGGGACCTGGTACATGTATGTACATGACACGCCTTAATTTCTTTTTTTACTTCTCCACTTCCCTTTTATCTCTTGGCCTCCTTTCCACTTGCAAAAGATCTGTCTCCTGTTTCCTATGACCTATCTTTATTTTGCTCTATAACTTATTTATACCTTGGGCTTTTCATGCAATATTTCAGCTTATACACCTGATTTACATCACCTAATAAGGTGCATCCGTTTTCCTACAAATGACTCAAGTTTATCCTTCATCACAGAGTAGTACTCCACTGTGCACACATAGCACATTTCCTCTACCCATTCATCTGTGGATGAACATATTTTTATAGCTATCTGAATGTATTCAAATATACAGAAAGCCTGGAAGGATTTAGCCTTAAGGATGCTGAAAAGGACAGGATTGCAGCACACGCAGCCGAGACTGTTTCGGGTCCGCTTGTGTAAGTTAATTCATTTACTCCAGTTCGCATTATCATTTTATCAGACAGAAGAATAGATGGACGTAAACCTAAGGTCACACAGATATTCAGTCATGGGCATGGGATAGAAACCCAGGCTCCCGTAGGGAATGAGTGGGGCTCAGGTATAGAGATCCACAGGTGAAAAGGAATGTTAGCTTGTCCCAAATGATCTGGGCCCTGAGATGTTGGACACCGAGAATGCCTTGTTTAAGCATTAAAAAAAAAAAAAAAAGACTGAACTCAGTTCTCTGATAGGGAAGGAGGTTGAGGCAGCCCAGGCCACACAGGTGTCCCTACCATTGTCGGTGGCGATGATAACCGCTGTGTATGTGCTGTTCTTCACATGATCAATGGATTCTCTGTCCAGCTCTGCCCGAGTGAAAATGGCACCAGTGTCCGGATTAATCTCCAACCAGTTGGCAGCATCCCTCCAAATCCGATACCTGCAAAGGCACAAACTCTGGCTTAGGATGGGGACAATAAGCAGTATTGACCTGGAGAAGGCTGAGTTTCCTGTTCCTTTATAGAGTTACTTTCGTGTTTTTGCTTGTGGTTTATTTGTTTGGTTGGTTTTGAAGACTGAACCCAGGGAGCCTCACACAAGCTGGGCAAGGGCTATGCCACTGAGCGACACACCCAGTCCTTCTTTAAATTTTTATTTTGAGGCAGGGTTTTCTCATGTTGGCCTCAAACTTGCCACCCTTCTGCCTCAGCCTCCAGAGTAGGTAGGATTATAGCCATGCACATTTTTTGATTTTGTTGAGACAAGATCTGCAGTCCAGGTAGGCCTTGAACTTGAGATCCTCACACCTCAACCTACCAGTGCTGGGATTCTAGGCATGTGCTACCACACTTGGCCTAGAGTTCTTAGTTTGATGTTTGTCAACCCTCTACAAAATGGCCAGAATACTATGATCACTATACATATACATACCCTTCACCTACTCTTACCCTTTTGTGCTTTTTGGGGTGGTGTGGATTCAACCTATAGCTTTGTTCATGCTAGGAAGCTGTTCTTACTACAGAGCTACATCCTCAAGACATGGGTTTGCCCATTGTTAATACTTTCCCACACTTACTTTCTCAACCTGTATGTTAACATACACACATGAAGAGAATGACACAGTATTCAGATTGTTCTACAATGATGTAATGGATCACAACCTGCCACTTGGTTGGCATGTCTCTAGTTTCCATTATATTAACATTTTTTTTGAACTTTATTTGTGCGTGTGTGTGTGTGTGTGTGTGTGTGTGTCTGTCTGTCTGTCTGTCTGTCTGTGTGGCCAGCTCAGCCCACCAGGGGGCGGGGCTGGCTGGCACGTGGTGCTGGGGGATTGAACCGTGGTCCCTGTGCTTTGCTAAGCTTGTTCTAAGTAGGTGCTTTAGACCACTGAGCCATCTCACCAGCCCCCTAGTTTCCATTAATTTGGAACCATTCCTTAGGTTTATTTTCATTTCTGATCCTCATGTTCTGGGATTGTGTAAACCAGTTCTTTTATAAATGGTCCTCAGTTGGGGGTTTGTCTGATTATTCCCTCACAATTAGATCCAGGTTATCCTTTTGGGGTGGTGTGGGGTATCTTCCTTGGTATAATATACTAGAAGGCAAATGGTAACAGTCTGTTATTTTTTTGGTAATGTTACCTTTCACCACTTGGAGAAGAAAAAACCCACTACAGTAAAGGCACCTTTCCCCCATCTCCTTTTTAATTAATCCATAATCTAGCAGGAGATAATTTGAGACTATCCTGTTCACCCACTAACTTTCTCTTTTCCTCCCTCTCTTTTCCTCCCTTCTCTTCCATTCCTTCCTTGACATGGTCTTGCTATGTGTTCTAGGCTGATCTCAAATTTTCTATGTGGCCCGGACTGGCTTGGTGACCTTCTTGCCTCTTCCACCTGAGTTCTAGGATTAAAGGTGTGCATCACCATGCCTAACTTCACCCAATGAATTTAGCCTCTAAGAGTAACTTTCCCCCAAAGCAATGCTTGCCATTACTGTGTATAGTAGTTATGGCCATCCTTTGCAATTCCTATTTATTTGTAAAAGCAGGCTTCACCAGGCTAGTTCCCCCAAAGTTACAGTAATTCTCAAAGGTGACAATGGCCCCACCTCTGGCTGTTAACATCTGGAGATTTAGGGTGACACTGATGTGGAAACGGGTTGTACTATTATTGTCTAATAGTAAAAGGCAGGGAAGGTAAATTTCCTTCTGATGTAACAGCAAAAAATAAAAAGCTTTGTTTGCTATGACAGAGAATCCTGTTAAGCCACAACTTATTAGGAATACTAGATAGAAAAAGTTAATCAGAAGAAATAAAGACATGAAAATCAGAATACTGCTCACTTATATCTATTAGAGTAGTAGGAAATTTCAGAAAGAGAAGTTAGGAAATGTGAGGAGGAAAGAACTCTGGAGAGTTCTGTGCTCGCCCTCACTCCCTTAGAAAGGGAAAGCAATGAATTGTTCCTGACATAAAGGGTCTCTATGAATATTACTAAGGTGTGGTCTTTGAACTTGCCTGAAAGGATGCTTTAAACTACTTACTTCACTAAGTAAGCTCCATTATCAACCCAGCCTGGACACCATCCAACCCAAGGCATATTATTGTCTTTGGCTTTTATCATTTTTTTGTAGTTGGTTGGTGTGTTTTCAACATCTTGAGCCAGAGATGACATTACAGATGTGCCTTAAAGTCTAATAAGACCACCTATGTGAACTAAAATACATTCCTACTGCTGCACACAGTAGGCCATACTATAGTCTCAGCTGCTCAGGGGCTGAGGTACAGGAGGATCACTTGAACCCAGGTGTGATCAGCTGGGACAACAAACTGAGCCCCCCTCTCAAACAACAAGCCCTCAAATCACACCCCAACTATACTGCAAGAACTCAAAGAGAGAAATTACATTAAACCTAAAATGGTCAACAATGGAAGAAATGGAAAAGATGTGGGGATACAGAAAAAATATTAAAGAGAGAGCACAGAGAGGGAGGGAGGGAGGGAGATAAAAAAAGGAGAAAGTATTTTGCAAAACCCAACGATGGTATAACACAGTGAACTAAATGGAGTCATGGGCTTTATAACAACATTTTGGTCAACAGCAAACAGTATTCATGACAGCAGTTCTGTAAGATTATGCTGCCTAGTGGTGGTATAGCCATCATAGTTCACATAATGTTCCCATAGTGATAAAATCGGCCAAGAACATATTTCTCAGAATGTATCCTTGTCATTGACACATGACTGTGCTAGAGAGACCAGCTGAATGGATGGATGGACAGACAGAAAGGTAATACATACATAACAATACCCAGTTGCTGCAGGTCAGTCAAAGAGCCTACACACTTACGTAATCTTCTGCTCCATAAATGTATCTGGTTCCCGAGCTGTGTAAGATGTGATTTCCGAGCCCACCCCAAAGTCTTCTGATACTTCTACTCTTTTTGTGGGGGGCACAAAGATGGGGGCTTCATTGACATCCAGCACATCTACAGTGACAGTGGCTGTGGAGGTCTGAAGAATCACTTCAAAGGGGACTGCATTTGTTACTGTCACATATAGAATGTACTGCTGCTTGGCCTCAAAATCCAAACCCTAGAGCAGAAAAAAATAAGGTTAAAAAATAAAATACAAACCAAGTGCGGAGGTACATGCCTATAATCCCAGTACTTGGGAGGCTGAGGCAAGAGGATTGCCATGAGCTCAAGGCCAACCTGGGATACATAGTGAGTTCAAGCCCAACTTGAACTACATAGCAAAACCACCAAAAAGAAGCAAAACAAAATATAAAGGACGGGGGGTGGGGGGATGTATGTGTGAATCAATGGCAGAACATTTGCTTAATATAGTGAGTGTGCTGAGTTTAAGCCCTAGCACCATACCAAAAATAAATAAATACAAGAAACAGTTCATGCTAATTTAAAAAGTTCTTTTAAAAATCCTTAACTATTGGTTTGGGTTGATAATACACCAGTGGTCTTCAAACATGTCTACTCACTTGCTAAAGAGGAAGTCAAGCTGTGGAGCCTACTATATACTACAGCCCAAATACTACATACTACATACTACATGCCAGGCAGCCATATCTCAGACTAACTTCAATGACTCACCCAGCACCTCAGTTTTCAAGTTTCTAGGACATCTCTCAAAAAAGTTATACTTGTACCACTTCTAAAATAGGTCTGCAGGGCCAGGGAGATAGCTCAGCGGAATAAGTGCTTGCCTGGCAAGTGCAAGGTCCTGAGTTCAATCCCTAGTACCACCAATGATGATGATGATGATGATGATAGTAATAATAATAATAATAATAATAATAATACATAAAATAGTCCAGCAGCTGGGTATGGTTGTGCACACTTGTAATCCCAGCACTTGGGAGGCTGAAGGAGGAGGATTGCTGCGAGTTCGAGGCCAGCCTGGGCTGCACAGTGAGTTCAAGGCCAGCCTAAACTGTACAGTAAAACCTTGTCTCAAAAGGACAAAAAAAAAATAAAACCCATTTCATTGCTATCTTCCTCTCATAGCTCTTCCCATGTTATGCCCACTTAAAAAAAAAAAAAAAAAAAGTTATCATTGCCCAGCAAAGTAGCCAAGGTCAGTAAACTATGTTTCCTCTCATTTGCAAAACAGGAAGAGAATTGGGAAGGTAAAATGTTCTGGTTCCACTTGAGTAAAATCCTGCCAACCCCAAGAGGTCAGCCCACCACAGTCTGGGACAGCTGACTCTCTTCTACCACTCCCATGCTAATCTGTATCTGAGAAGACTCTGGGGACAAGAGTCTGCAGCTGCTGGGGTGTCCTGTTGGGCATCTTGCCAGGCACATACGAACCTTAGCTGTTTTCAGAAAGCCGTTGTTGGTTATCGGGTCTGTGGTGACAATGAACTGCTTGTCAGGATCATTCAGTATGGTGTACACGGCCTGCCAAGCCGGGGTATTGGGGGCATCATCATCAGTCACTGTGAGTGTTGTGATGACGGCACTGACCTCATTCTCAGGCACCTGACCCTCGTACTGCAGAGCAAAGGAGAAGACGGGTCACTGAGGACACCCTGACACTGAGAGCAGAGGCAGGGCTTGGGGCTGAAGAACCCAGTCTGAGCCCAAGCCTGGAGCAGATGTAACAAGGAGAGCACAGGCAATGGGCCTGAGACTGGGCCGAAGTCTGCACACTAGGATTAGGACCTCATTTCCTGTCAGTGGGGCTCTCGTACTTCTACATCTCCTCCCCAAGTACCTGAAGCAGCTTTCCAAGGCCGTCCATGACTGCCCCAGCTGCTCAACACATGTGACCCAGTTTCTAACCATGATTCTTACTCAAGTACACTAAGGTTTAACTATTCTTTTCCCCCAGCCCTCTTCCATTCTTTATCAATAATCTTCATAAAAATAAACCTGGTCATTATAACCTTTTTCTTCAAACCCTTTGACAATGTCTCTTTGTTCTCAGGACAAATTCTAAAGTTCTTACCCCAGCCTAGAAGGTCCTACAGGACCTGGCCTTATTTGGTTCACTATACTTTACTACTGGCTATTTTTCAGTTCTTCCTGTGCTTGGAGCTGCTTCTTTATTCAGGGTCACACGTTGCTGAGAATATATTTCAGCCTTCTCCCTGTCCCATTTGTGCCTGACTATAACATTCACTAGCTAGTTTGATGAGCTTTCAAAGAGTTTACTCTTCACTCATGAGCAGTTACAAAACTTAGTTCATAAGGACTGGGGATATAGCTCAGCAGCTTAAGCACCTGCTTGGCAAGCACAAGGTCCCAAGTTCAATCCCTGGGTACCACAAACAAACAAACGCCCACTTGGTTCATGAACAACAAAGGACCCTGCTTTGGAAACCTTGTAGAGCACTACAGAATTACCATGGTTGGGTTGAAGATGGGAGGATTATCGTTGACATCTGTCACTGTGATCACAGCTTTTGCTGTCGTGCTTAAGCCGTCACCTTGAAGGTCAGCAGCCTGAACCTCCAGGGTATAAGTGGGATAACTCTGTAGATAGACCAAACACACTTGAGTCAGGACCAGTGCCAGGAGCTGACTCAAGCCCAGTCCAACCCAGCCCAGCCCAGCCTCTTGCAGCTACAGAACCAGAATATTTGTCCATCTATTTAATTGCCAGTCTCTCTAGGCATCTAGGGAGAGAATCTTTCAGCAGATATTTAGATGCAAAGCTCAGACCACTACACCAACTGACCACTGGTCTTGGCACAGTTTTACACTGTCCATGAGACTTCACAATATAGCATTTGCCTTTAGCTCCCACAGAATCATCACGACCCCTGTTGTCCTGACCTCTCGGTCCAGCCCGGTGGTGACCACACTGATGACCCCTGTGATCCGGTGGATGCTAAACATTTGACTGTGAGGCAATGTGGGCTCTTGGCTGAGGATAGTGTAAGCAATCTCAGCGTTGTAGGTGTTAGGATCATCTGCGTCAGTGGCTGACACCTGCATCACAGAAGTTCCTGGAAGCATCAGAGTACAGGAAGTTCATTTAACGGTTATACTTTGGGAACCGTTTACTACTACCCACCCCCGTTCTGCCCTGAGCGATAAAGGATGGGCCCAGGAGATTTTTGTCAGATTGTCAGATCTTTGTCAATCTGACAATCAATCTACAGTCTGACAATCCAGTTTGTAGAATTCTCATCAAATTGCCAGTGGAGGAAAAAAGCATTCCACCATGAACCGTGTTCAGAGAACTCAAACACACATTTTTAGATGAGGGTTGGAGGGAAAGAGGTGAGCTGTGACTAAATCACCTCTAACTAAAACATCTTGCCATGTCTCTTACACTGAGCTGAATAATGTATAAAATAGAGAAAAAATCCAGAATTCTCCACAATTGACTTCTCAGCCATAACTTGGTTAGGAAGAATAGTTGTTAGAAACATTGCCTTCAGGGGCCAGGGAGATAGCTCAGTAGAATAAGCACTCGCCTGGCAAG